ATTTAGTTTTTCCCAATTATAACTGATTAAGTATAGTATGCACAATAAGGTATACACTCATTTTTGGCCAAAACAAAAATTCTCATGAAATTTTCAAACTTAAAATTCCCAAAAAGTTTGATGTGTTGTTTTTAATGTTGATATTCTGCTGCTGTATAAATAGTCCCTCCAGTCATTATATATTTAATGTATTTTTTTAGAAAGAAAAAATAGAATTGTATGAAAATAATGTAAATGAAGTGAGATTTTTTGAGATGTATGGGTTCCCCTTTTGCCTTCTGCCCATTGATAGCTGGGATAGGCTCCAACACCCCACCGCGACCAAGAAGGATAAGCGGTTTATGATGTGTGTGTGTGTGTGTGTGTGTGTGTGTGTGTGGGTTCTCTCTTGCCTGTAAGGGTGTTTTTTTGCCACTATCGCCCTTGGCTTGCTCATTGCTGCCCAAAAATGTCTTTGTCATTTTACCAAACTGGTTCAAAGTAATACTTTTAACTCACTTTGACTTTAGGGTAAAAAAAAAAACTTTTACACTGAGTGACCCTATGACTGAATTAGGTTTATTTTATTAAAATAAATGATTGAACTTTGTTGCTGTTTGCTGTTTTTTTACCACACGTACCCGTTTTGGTGCTGACCATTTCAGTAGTTTTTCACTACTCAGAAAGGTTTACTTAACTGCTGAAAATATGTTTCAGTAGCAACAGTTCTTAAGGTTTTACACATTGTTTTTATATGTGTATTTAACACTGAATATATATATATATATATATATATATATATATATATATATATATATATATATATATATATATTATTTCCACAAGCTAAAGGTGGGTTTGGGACTAACAATTTAAAAAAAGTACCTTATAAATAATGATTTTGTATATATTTAGCTTATTATTATCTCATTTATTGAATTGGGTTTAAATATGTCATGAAATAATCCTTGTAAATATCTATGGTCTGAATACTTAATTATTTTTTTTATTTTATTTTATTTTATTTTTTTTTACTGTGGGACTGCAGTGTGAACTAATTGAATAGTAAAATTATAATAGGGCTTTACAAAGAACATATCATCTAAGGAGACCATACTATACCAAACTATATTTACAAAATCATCACATGCCTCTAAACAGGAGCAGAAAGCTGTGAAAGTGTCCAATGTTTAATTCAAACATTCCACACAAGATCCTGAGACAGCGGAGTAAACTCACGAGCAAAGCTGCTGTGTTCACTGAGCTCAGAGTCATCAGCAGGCTCAGAGGAATAGTTTCCTCAATTACTGACGTCTAGCAATTAAGAGTCGTGGAGATGCTCAAGAGCTGCCTACGATGATCAAGAGGGTTGTTAAGCATAGCTGTGGTGATGAAGTCTCTGCTGCTGAAAAAACAGTGTTAGAGATGAACTGGAGTTTAATGCTCTGCTGCTTTATACAAAGTCAGCTGCTGAAACGTGCTCTCTGCTCACAGCACTTTATTGCAGCCATTATAGCACTTATCATTACTGGTTTAACAAGTGGAAGAGGGGAGTTTATTTCCTGCCTATTCATGACTGAGGACTTCCCAGGTGGATAACTTACGAACAGTACTCATTATCCCTTCCTCTCTTTCTGTCTCCAGGCTGGAGGGAAACACTACCATCCTACCTGTGCTCGCTGTGCCCGGTGTCAGATGATGTTTACGGAGGGGGAGGAGATGTACCTGACAGGTGAGTAAGAGGTCTGAAAGGTCAGACTCACCAACTGCAGGCACAATCAGTTCAGCAGAAGACTCCAAAGAGCTGGAAAGCTTGAACCAATATACATTGTAGTAGTGTGTAGGATGTTCTTGAACCATTGTCTTTACTAAAGAACTCTTGGAGAACCGTCTTTTTTAAGAGCGAGTATCTAAGAAAATGGTAATTACTATAATATGGTATATTTGATTTTAATCAAACAGACTTAGCGTGTAGTGCCTTTTCCACATTATCATCAAGCCACAGAGCTGGAGGATGCCTACAGTATTTTGGACACAAGGTTATAGAGTCCTTAACATAATGACTTGGAGGAAAAAGCTTTACGTTGTCCCATTATTAACCCTATTTCCAGAACATCGTGTGACAATATAATGATGGATTTACATAAGAAATTGCGTTTATTTATTAAGAGCAAAAAAAAGACATAAATGTGGTAGCTTACACTTACTTCTATATACTCCTATAACTATACTTCTAATATATGCTTACTTCTGTAAACTCCTATGTGCTATATCCTTATGCTAACCTTACACTAGAAGACTTTGAAAAGACTTTTGAAAGACTAAAGTCTGACACCTTCTCACATCTAAAGACAGTGTCGCGTTTTTTAGTCAGAGACTATGATTGTGCAAAGACTAGGAATCTTGCAGTGTCACTATTTACAAGACTGCAACTACATTTTTGAGATTATTCCCATCATGCACCTGGTAGAAATTTACAAGCAGATAAACACTTGTCCTTCCACTCTATAGTGGTACAGATGGGAAGATACGTTGGCTGGGCGTGTAAAGATCTGGGACTCAAATTAGTTCACTATAGAACTGTATACTCTGGCAGATCATCACCCAGAATTGTATTAATTAACCTGAAAAATGTGCAGTTAATTTTTGTAATTTGATATGAAGATTTACACATCAACACAACATGCAGCGATCCAGCATTGTTGATTGGGTGTCATGAACTAAACCATAAGAAACAAACAAAATAAGAAACAAGAGTAACAGAAAACAGGAAAAAATAGAAAAAAAAAAGATGATTCTTCAATAATGGCATTCTTAAAGTCCTCTGCACATGTCCTTACGTGTTACAGGCTCAGTGAACCTGAAATATTAAAACAGTCAGTTTACATTTTAAGTTATGATTATTGTATTGAATTGCCGTTTTTTACAGAGATTTCAGGCAATCACGCCTGCATTCTCTCTCTCTCTCTCTCTCTCTCTCTCTTTCTCTCTCTCTCTCTCTATCACGCTGCTCGCCCACAAGCACTCACGCGCGCCCCTGGCATGTCACTATTTGCATGAGCCAAGACTTAAAACTTATGATAATATTAAACACGGTTGATTTTGTCGCAGGGGCAAGACGAGAAAAAGACTGACTTAAGACCACCACCTTATACCAAACAATCGAAATGATGCGAGCGACTCTAGCAAGACTCTCGTGATTTTATCCCGACATGGATATTTGTCTGCGACAGTGAAATCGCTTGAAAAGTCGTTTGGTGTAAGGCCGGCATTATTTGGCTTATTTTTCTATCATAGAATCATATGACTGCAGATGATTTTCTTGCTGGTGCCTGCTAGGCAGTAGCATTCTCCAACAGCATGTGTGTGTGTGTCTTGTCTCACACACCCGGGCTGAGATGATGAGACAGCAGCGTTAGTGTGTAACATGCTAGTCAACATGCCCTGGGGTGAAAGCGTTTAAGAGTCAACTCAGCCAACATCAGCTTTCAGCAGTATTGATGTGGAGAGAGTGAGAGGAGAGAGAGAGAGAGAGAGAGAGAGAGAGAGAGAGAGAGGGTGAGTAAGATGTGTAAAAATGTTAATAGAAAGTTAAATACTTCAGCCAGTTGCCAAAACTGAACTGCACTATTTGAACTCACTTGGATGAAGGAACTGCTGACTGTAAACTGGCAGAGATCCCAGCACAGGAAGCTCAAGAGGAACATCAGTGATTAGCAGCACTAACCTATTTAACTCAAACAGAAGTGAGGCAGTCGGGGAGAAATGTAGGAGCACACAGAGACATTTTGAAACCGACCTGAAGGCAGCTTTACTTTGATGACAGTAGGGCTACGATGATTATTTCGTTAGTCGATAAATCAGTCCTTTTTGATTTGGATTAACTGTTCCTCATCCTAATTAATTTAGAAGAAGTGCTATTTTTAGTTTATCGATAATTAACATTAAATATTTAATACTACCTATAATGTTTTATTTAAAAATGAAAAGTACCACCATTACTGAGGTCTGAAGATTGACGCATTGCATGATGTTGTTGTGCACAATACACAGAGAACAGAACAGAGCTTTAAAATCTCCACCCTGCAGAACGTTTTCCAAAAGATCAGCTTCCAGTAACCTAAAACACTGTTTTTGTGTGGTAGGGAGGATAAAAAAGGAAAAAAACTACTTTTTCAAAAAACTCTGGTATTGAAACAGCATGTTTTAGTTGTGTAGTTTAAACAAAAGTACTGCAAATGTAACTCAAATCTTCAGCCAACATTTTATTGGTAAATTTACTAAATTAAACAGACTTAGCCAAAAAGCAGAAGACTAGACGCTATTTTTGGATTTTGACTACGATTTTACAATCTTCATTACTTACCATGCTCTGTTTCATACAATATTATATAAGAAGACTGCCTTTTTAGATAATTTGCACTACAGTCTTCAATGTGTCTTTTAATCAAGTGATGTAACCTTAGATGGCAAGTGTAACTGATGATAAGGTTTGTTGCCAACTTTTTTTCATTATCAATATCATCAATTATTCAGTTTATTTTTGAAACTCTAGCTTAGCAGCTGAATGACCCTCACAGGTTCTTTTGATCAAGTGTTCTTGAAGCATATTAAGCCAAACGAGAGCATATAAGTCAGGATGTGATCTTACGTCTTCCTCTCAGGTTCTGAGGTGTGGCATCCAGTGTGTAAGCAGGCAGCTAGGGCAGAGAGGAAGCTGCGAGTACGACGCATGTCTGAAACCTCCATCTCACCTCCAGGCTCCAGCATCAGCTCCCCCAGCCGAGTCATCTGTGTGAGTAACCAGCCACTGCAAGTTCCTTTTTATCTTCAGGAGGATATAAAGGCAGTGTTAAGACAATAGCTCCGCTGGAAATTCAGTGTTCAGGCAATGATGTAGGACCATTATTCCCAAGAGTACATCGAGCAGTGATTTAAATCTTGGAGGTCACAGTGGCCTCCAGCAATAACAAAAACATGGTGTAATTCGATATTAATTATTTCTCACTCGCAGTTTATTAAAGCACAGGGAGGAATTGTGTGGAAAATCTAGTGCATTTAGTGTTGTTTTCTGAGAGGACAAAAAACATCCTTTACATTATTGCCATGCCTTGTCTGGGGACATTAGACTGTTGGCATAACTTTTTAGGTGACAGCGCTGGTGTTGCACAAAAATTTAGTGGCATGCAGAAGTTTCCACTTGAAAACATGATTAGACAAAGGGAGGGTTATCATTTTGGATGAGTAATAGAGGGTGCCTCAGATGAGCTGTCACTGCAGCCACCCAGTACAACACTGGATGCTGATGAGGACTTGTCACCTTCTTACAGGTTGCCTTTTCTTCTTAGTGAATGATGTGCCAAGCTATCATAATCTAGAGTACTTAGCCCAGTTAGCAATAAAGTCTTGCTACCTCAAGCCTTCTCAGTCATGTTCCTAACGAAGTGTCTTTGACTTGACACTCACATTGAGGGACTTGTGGTATAGCAAAGTACAATATACAAATTCAAGCAAACCCATCACATTATACAGTCCTGTTAAAACATAACATCGACATTCAATATTCAATTACTGTATGTTTTCTCTGTTTCTTCAAAAGAATAGACAGGTAGTGATTTCAGTGTTCAAATACTGTAATGTTGAACACAGAACCGAGTACTCAAGTACCCATGCACATACCCAGTTTTGTCATTGTCTGACAATGAAACAAACAGAAAAAAGTCAGAAGGACAGACTCGAAGCTGATGATACAATGTAAATTAAATGTAAAAGTAATTCATTGTGTAACTCACTGTGTAATTCAATACATAATTACATCCTAATCCTAAATGTGTAATGTAGCAAAGTAAAATTAATAACTCTCACCTTCTAATAATTAAATAACACTGACAAATCCTGAGTAATCTCTTTATGCAGTGCATGCGTATCTGTGTGTTTACCAGCACATACTTGCTGTGGGCTGTGTTTGCGAGTGTGTAGTTGTGCCGGCATCACTGTGCACATGTAAATGGGAGTGTGTGATTGATGTGCTGAGTGACCTTTGTGTTGAGTGTAAGATTGATGTCCTGAAAACGCAGTATAAGCATGTACGCTGTCCTGTGGCACTGGCCCAAACCCAGCCCTGCTGAAGGTCAGCCCTAGAATCTGCAGAGCACATCACGCATGTGATGAGAATTAACTTCATGAGAATGAAAGCAGGACTGCGGAATTGAACCATGTATTGGAAAACATGAAATGTAACACATCTGAACAATTCTCACCTCTACGTGAGAGATAAACACTACTTACCACATTCAGGACATCACTTGGTATACAGTACCAGCCAGATGCATTCATACTCATTGTATGATCATCGGCCAGTTTTGATCCAGTGTTTTTCTTCTTTGAAAGCTTACTAAGGTTTAAAATGAACCATTTTGAACTGAATCACATAAGATGGGTATTTAAAATTAGGCTTGCTCACATTTCTCATACACTCTACTACCTCACATGAGGAAATACTTAGCTGACAACATCACATCAAACAATGTGAGTATGTGCTGTTTCAGGCTAGATTTGTTACTGGATTGAATAAAATTCATTCTTTTCTCTCAAGTATCTAATATTCATTTTCTGCTGATATCGGCCCAATATGGATGCTTAATATCAGATCTGTACTATTTCTAGTGCTCATAGAAGGATTTTCCTTATTTGTACTGTTTGATACATTTCAGAAGGTAGTGAAAACGAGATTTTGCCTTGATGCAGCTTTGCACACTTTTGGCGTTCCCTCAAAGAGCTTCATGAGGATTCACGTATATATATATATATATATATATATATATATATATATATATATATATATGCACGTTGTAGTTCTACAATTGAAGAGTTTCATTCCAAAATGCTGTATATTCATTTGTATTTCGGATATAACACATTTTTGGAAAGAAAAATTATTATTTTATGTATTATGAAAAACAATTTTTTATTTCTCTAATAAAGGTGGCATTAATCATAATATAACATTGATATTTCTTCTATGTGTTAAGTCCGCTACCAAAAATGTATATCCTGGGAAAAAAAGAAAGTTTTTGAAAGTGAACTATAATGTGTTTTGCAGTGAAACGCTTATATTACTAATTATAGTCCATCCGTTTCTCTGCATAATTTGTTAGCCCCCCCTTTACTCCATTAATTAAAGGTCAGCCCGTGCAGGACCACCACAGAGCAGGTATTATTTGGGTGGTGGATCATTCTGACATGGTGGTTGTATGTTAGTGTGTGTTGTACTGTTACAAGCGAATCAGAAATAGCAGTGCTGCTGGAGTTTTTAAACCCTGTGCCCACTTACTGTCCACTCTGTTAGACACATGTCCTCTTGTTGGTCCACCTTGTAGATGTAAATTTAGGGACGATAGTTCAACTGCTGCACAGTTTGTGTTAGACATCTTCTAGTCTGTCATCAGTGGTTAATTTCAGCCAAGAGGACGCTGTTGGCTGGATATGTTTTTTTTGGTGGACTATTCTCAGTCCAGCATTGACACTGATGTGTTGAAAAACTCCAGCAGCACTGCTGGTTCTGATCCACTCTGTGTGCGGTTCTGTGTGCGGCACACACACACCAACATCCCACTACCGTGTCAGTGTCACTGTAGTGCTGGGAATGATCCATCACCCAAATAATACCTGCTCAGAGATGGTCCTGGGTGGTGGAATGGGGTAAAAGCGGGGCTAAAAACTATGAAAAAACTGCATGGACCTCATTAAATGGACAGTTGGTATAGATACGAGGAAGGTGTGCCTAAACACATAGCTAGTGAGTGTATATATGTTCAGTTAGTTGTGTACAAAATTTTAAGTGGTATTGTATATCTGGTGGGATGGTCTGGTCCTGCTAAACAAAACCCAGGTTTGAGCCTGGCGCTTGATGTGTGCAGGTACTGTATGCTGTTTTGCTCTGTAGTGAAAAAACAGAAGATTGGCTGCCTCAATAAGCAAACAATGATACAATTAACAGACTCGATCCCAGAATGACATGATATGTTATTGTTGTTATTGTTAACATTACATCCATTTTGTCAGTGTGTTTGTCCATTTGTGTTTTCAGGCCTGCCCATCATGTTTTCATTGCATTTTGACACACGTGTGAGAGTGTATGTTTGTCCCGTGTCCCTTTCCTCAGGCCAGAGTGGAGAACGAGGTCCTAGAGTACAAAGATCTGGCTGCGCTGCCTAAGGTTAAGGCCATTTACGATCTGCAGAGGCCTGATTTCTTATCCTATGAGCCATATCACAGATACTACTCCGACGACAGGCTAGAGCGCCTCAGCTACGGGGAGGTACTGCCCTAGTGGGACTTTAAAGCCACACTGTGTACCTTCCTAGCATGTTACTCGTAGCCCTTAGACAAGCTGACCTGACCTAGCCTAGCTTAGCAGAGTCTGGCCTTGTGTTCCCAACACGCCTTTGTCTGTTTAATGTCCATGTGTTTATTAAACGCTTGCTGAATGCTGAATTTGCAAAGTTGTTAAATGCATGTGTTCCTTTCACACATATTGCATCTGTCTGTAGTGATCTGACGTCTTTCTGCAGAAACTTCTCTCTACGAAGCATGTAACCTTGTTAGGGATGCATATGAAAATCCTGGCTCAAATTTAGGGCTTGACTGATATATTGGTTACCAATAATGCTGGCTGATATCGAGGTTCCATGGATTTATCAGTATCGGTAATGAGCAATATTTAGTGGCCTGTTTTATAGGGATGTGTGATTGCCAGATTATTTGCTTCAAACACACGGCCAATCAGCCAATTTATTTTGTTTATTTTGTGTGGTTTAGTTTATATGGCCAGTCTGTTTGGCAATTTTATAACGTAAATAACAGGAACCAGGTTAGTGCATTTGTGCTGTGTTTGAATGCTTATGCTACACCTATGCCAGAATGTCACAGCATAATTAGATTAGATTAGATATATATTAAAATTGAAAGAAGGAGCAATGCTCAGGAGAAAAAAAACACACTAAAATATGGTGTCCGTGTATAAACCCTGTACAGCCTCAAATGATAATTTAAAAGTCAGAGGTGTTGGGTCGGATTTGGCAGAAGATTTTAATACCATGTCATGCAATATGTCTTTACTTATTACCATCACATGCACAGGCTCAAAAAGAAGGTCCAGCTCAATGTTTAGGCGAAGATCTCTTTACAATAGTAACTTTTTAACTACTGCTGTATGCTTAATTGTTGTTGTTGTTTTTTTTCAATTTTTATCATTTTTAATTCCTTTTTCAAAATACTTAATTTTTTTCATAGAAGTTGGGCTCTAAAATCTGTCTTTATATATGTCATTGCCAGTTTTAGATTCTATACATTTCTTAAATAATTAATCTAATAATCTTAAATCATTCATCTAATGAATGATGCATATCACTGGATCCATTGTACATAATGTTTTTGAATTCTGATATCAATCAATATTGTAACTAAAATCAATTGCTCATGCTGTTATGTTAGAATGCATCCCTAAATTGTCATGCTTGCTGTTACCATCTTTTAAAGCACCTATATTTCTCTCTAAACTTTCCTAAGTGGGCTTGCAGCATTGGGTTGTGCATTTTCCGCATCTAAGAGATTGTCATATTAGACAAATTGCAGCCATGCTTGAGAGCCACACATTCACAGCAGAAGCATTTCAGTGTGCTGTTCATATGTTGCATTATAAACACTGCTTTCAGCAGCCTTCACTGCTCACTGGCTGCCATTAGATGAATGAATGTTCCTTCTGTGTATTTTGTTTCCACCACCTAAGTGGTTTCCGATGTGAGTGAGAAATTGATTGTGCTCTTATCAGAGTGCAGGAAACAACTGTGCTACTAAATCATGATGGTATAAAGAGGTTAGTATTAACGTGGTAGCCCCTTTACTATTCACTTTCCCTCACACATCACATAAAGAAAAGGAAAGACTTTGGCAAGCCTGTTAACCTGTTCTCCATCTATTTCCCCCTCTCTCTCTCTATCTTTCTCTCTCTTTTTTTACCTCCACAGTCTCTGGGAACACTCTCTCCTTATTCTCAGGTAATAACGCCTGCCTCAGAGGTTTTTTGTTTGTCAGTTGATTAATACACATCAGAGACATATATATATATATATATATATACATATATATATATATATGTATATATATATATATATATATATATATGCACACACATATATATATATATATATATATATATATATATATATATATATATATGTCTCTGATATATATACATATATCCCATATTGAAAGCAGTGATACCCCAGAATGAAAATTATTGGGTGAAAACTAAAGTGAAATTCATAATTTACTGGTCTGAAAATCAAATCTAAGAAGGCAACATTTGCCCATAAATGGTATTGAAAATCAATGGTCAAAAAAACGTGGACTAAAAGAAACAAAGATTAGAGTGAAGTATCAAAATTGTAAGACTACAAAAAATGTTAAAGATGATAAAACCAAGAAAAATAGTGATTAAAAGCATTGTTTATTCATTTCACTCTCCTCTACTGGTCAACAAAGACTTGTTCAAACAGTTTAAGCAACAGCAGATGAACAGTGACAATGCTGACCACTTGGAACTATTTTACGGGTTCTATATTTGTGATCATCATTCATTCTAAGCATCAAGAGAGGATATAAAGCCTAAGGACTTCTGTACTTCAGGTTTAAAACCACTTAAAAATCACTCAATATGCAGAATAGAGCAAAAACAACAAGGAAAGTCCCTGCTAGCACACAAATGGCATCTACAGCTCCAGACTTTAAAAAAAAAAATCACAAGCAACAGTAAAGTGCAGAGAATTTATCACCTTGGATGACCAACCATTCTCTGTTGCTGACTTTTGATTTCATGGCAAATTTGTAGCCTACAAATTGTAATCATTTTAATAAATTTTAATTTTAATGTATGTTTTAATTTTTTATTATTATTTTTAATTATTTTTAATTATTTTAATTTATTCTAATAAAAAATCAAAAATAGCCTAACTTAAGCAGTAAAATTGTCATCATTCTTGCTCTTTTTTACTGGCATTTTTGATCTTTTTCAGCAAAAAAAAAATTCAGTGTTTGAATTTCCCTAATTGAAAGAGAGTAACGGTCACAACTTGACACAGTCTGAAAGCTTTTTGTGTGTGTGTGTGTGTGTGTTTGCGTGTGTTTGTGGATCTGTGTGTAGGACATGTATGACAGTGTGGACCTGAGGCAGCGGCGCTCTTCTAGCCCCGGCTATATTGACTCACCCACCTACAGCAGACAGGGCATGTCGCCCATCCTGCCTCGCTCGCCTCAGCACTACTACAGATATGGTGAGTGTGTACACAGCTCACATAAACTACCAACATACCGCACGTATACACAATATACACACTGCATAGTGAAGAGATCATGCTTGATGTGTCCTTGGCAGGAAGCAAGATAAGCATGTTAAATGTTTATAGTGGACTTATTTTATTCTCAGGAAATGAATCGAATTCAATCTCTGTAGATAAGTAGGTAGCCTCTAAAACAAATGAAATCACACTAACTTTCCATGGCTTGTCATTTTTTGTTTACGTTTATTTATTTATTTATTTATTTTTGCTATACTTGGCACAGTATGGCTTTCCTGCCGTCACTGAAATGCATACTGTGCCTGGCTAATTTGCGAGCAAAAGGATTGTCGCTTCTGATTTGTGTTTTGACTGAGAATGATTTGTGCTGCAACCAGAGCTGGGAAGAACCTTCATTCATGCTCTGCTTTTGTCACTCTCATTAACTGGGGGGGGCTTGGCGCAGGCTCTGAGAGTGGCAGGAGCTCGCCATATTACCCACAGCTGGAGGCCAGGTCCAGCACACCCACCACCAACCAAGCACCCAAGCATTTCCATGTGCCAGGTAGGCCACGCCTCTGCTTCCTGTCCATTTGCTACCCTTCATCCTTAAGGCCAAAATGCACCAACCAGACAAACACGAATAAACACAAAGAAACACAAACATCTGCCTGGTGTGTCAAACCTGCATTTGATAGTTGAAAGACTCTTCAATCGCTCATGTCAGTTCTTTTTTCTGGACATACTAAGGACAAGTGCAAACATTAGAATGTTCATGTTTTGTTTGTGTTTGTCCAGTTGGTGTACTCCCTTACTCAGAATGGTATTTAGTAGGGCCCAACTAATATATCAGTTGGCCATTATATCAGTAGACATTGAGGTTTCGTGGATTTTTCTGCTAAAATCATCCCAATAAAGCACCAGTATTTAGTGACTTTTTTTATTTAAGCAATTAAACATGAAAATGAGTGTTTTATCACAAATAAAGGACAACCTCAGGTGATTTATTGCTTTTATACAACAGTTCTGCAAAAACTAGAGCAAAGCTCCAAATCCCATTGCATCAAGTGTGTTTTAATATTGGGAGTTGCTACTGCCTGTATAAGCCTTTTTTATTATGGATTGAGCCATAAAACTATTATAATATCAAGTTCAGCTCAGCTTTTTCAGTTTGCCTGATTAACCCGAATTCTGCTTTGTTTCAGCCAGAATATTTCACATTTGTTTGGTGAATTCTGTCTCGTTTGGTGTATTCTATTAGTTTCTGGCTAATTCCATGTTTAGTTGTTGTGCTGTCACAGCTGCCCACTGAAAAGCTTACTTAGGCAACGTTACATTATCACCATTTAAACATTTGCTGCTCAAGCTGCAGCTGTACGCCATATAGCGCATAACTGAAGGAATTGTGCTGTTATTACAAATCACAGCACGGATAGAATGTTTCTCAATCGGTCAGACTGAACTGTTGGAACTAACTGTTGTATAAAATACAGTGAACAAACATCTTATGACTCTCTTTTCAGCTCTAGTGACTTAAAGGTTCAGCTGTTTGAAATGTTTACACTATGACTTATCCTACAGCATGGATTCTTTTGTTCTTTCCTAAGTTTCATTCGCTCTCATCTCCCTGTTTCAGTCTGCCAGCACTGCTCAGCACCCCCCCCACCACCCCCACCCATACACACACAATCCCTGTACATCCTGACTGAAAACCCGGAATACGCAGAGGAAGTAGAATTATACATGACTTAAGATCCTGCTTCTTCTCCTCCTCTCTCATCACTGCACTGTCCTCCATGTCTCACCATTCACCTTTCTTTCTTTTCTCAGCAACAGCGGAGCCCAACATCTACCGGAAGCCTCCCATCTATAAGAGACATGGTAGAGTGTGCTTGGCCTGTCCTTGCTCCTCTCTCCCCTGTCCTGAGGCTGCTTGTGCCTCTGGGAAAGATGTGGTGTTGACACTGTTGGATATTATTTAGCATAGCTTTAGAAAAATAGTAAAGAAGTGTTATAGTAGTGGTTTGCACTCATCTACCCATTTACCTGCAGTCCTTATGGGCCTTAGCGCGAGCTTCTCTGCTTTGACTTGCCTCATTTAGCTCATTACAGAAATAGTTTCAGAATATTTTAAGCAACAGTTCATTAAAATTCCCCATACCCCAAAAAATGTTCCCTGTACCCCAAATACAGATCTGTCATACATGTTTGGTGTCTCAAGTTTCATTCATATGTTTTGCACTGAAGTTTAAAAGCTAATGTTTAGCTAGTAACGGAAGCTTACCCACTTTACACCTTGTGGGTTGCTAAGCACTTTCAAGTAGATTTTATTATGTGGTTTCTGACTGCTTGACAGTGTAATCCATGAAAATGGAACAAAAACATGCCGTATAGCTAACAACAGCAGCAGCAGCCATGCAGAATTTTGTTTGTACTTGTGTCCATTTTTATAAGTGTATGTCATACTCTGTCGGAAGCAAGTCTATTTGAGATTATCTAACACCTTCATGCAGTTTAAGGCAAGAATATGATGACTTAAGCATGCAGTGTGCATGATGCTAATAGGTGGAGTCTATTGCTGTAAGGGCATATTAATTACATTAAGAGTTTACGTGATTTGACAACAATAAACTGTATAGTTCTCCAAAACGTTGCACAAAATCTCTGGGCAATGAACTTGGTACGTGTAATCAGTAGGGCAGTAATGATTGAATGAGCTTTTACTGCAAAGTTGAGATGGCACTCAGCATCTTACTGTTGTTATATAATATTACTATATTAAACCCAGACTACAATTCCATAGTAGGTGCTATTTAGCTAAAAACTTACACCAATAAAGACAGCCAATCTGAAGTCTTTAAGATACATAGACACATGATAATGGTCTGTTTTAATGCCAGATAAATAAAGTCACGTCTTAACTTACAGTTGGAAACCTTTTAGTCGAAACTATAACCTTTTAGTTTGAAAACATGCGTTCATCAAGAGGTAGTTAGCTGAGAGTTAAACGTACAAAATGATGTTGATAGTTTTATCCTGTTAAATCTGTTTGAATAGAGCGTAAAATGAGCTTGAGCTTCTTGCGCCTCTTGTGCTTTTCTGCGATGCTTCCTATGTGCCATAACTGTACTTTTATCTGCTGCACGGCGTGACGCTATGGCAGCGTGGTATAGAGAGCCTGTTTTTGCATATCAAAAACCTAATTTACGGTCAGAGTTTTAAACTTTCATGACAATTTGAATATTAGATAACTATGTCTCATTCCTACTAGAATTACAGTTCTTTTATTTTAAATATTTTAGAATCGACATTTTGCTCATTTTTTGTTTGTTTTTGTTTTATGTTTTTTTTTCAGTTTGACTGAAAAAAGCTGTGTATAAGTCATTCTGTCATCTGTTTCTTACTGTAGGGTAAAAGAGCGAGTGTGTGAACAGTTTAAGTATGGCACTTTCAGAGTGAACTGGCCATCTCAAGTGAGGTGCTTCTACTAAGACAGCTCTTTTTAAAAGCTCAGTCTTGAAGGAAGAACTGGTATGGTGTTCGTATTGAGCCCTAGGTTTACTGAGACTGAAACCTTGAGCATCAGAAAGTAAAAGTAGTATTGTGCCATCACTACTGCAGAGTAGAAATGAGCTGTCCTGTCAGTTATAAAATTGGAAGAATATAGCAACTTGACTACACTGATTGAAAGTCAGCTCCACTTGCCTATGTATAAGAATGTGGCCCTCATTCCATGTCTCTACTGTTTGCATGACAAGAGGAGGCAGCCCCCTGCCCCTTTCACTCAGGAGGGGGATGAAAAAAGAATGAGGCTCGTCGAAGCGTGATGAAAGCCGATGTTTGGCGGCCATGCCTCTCCCTGACTTTCATCGACTGGGAAGTGTCCATGTTACATGCTACAAAGCCCCCTGCACAAAGCTAATTAAACACTATCCTGTGCAACATGGCCTACTCCTTCTTCAGTCTTGGTTGCCGTGAGGTTTTTACACTTAAAACTGTCTGAGCTTAGTGGACAAGCTATTTATTTTCAGCTTAGGCAGTTTAAGTAGCCTACTTTAATAAATAATGTGGTTTATCTAGTAGGGATATGTGAGCTGCATGAATATTTCTGTGGAAGATAAATGTCAGACAGTTTTCAGCCTGAGTGGCATTAATTAGGGCCCTCTCGAAGAGTCATGAATTTGAACACATTTCCTTTCAATAGCAGTAATAGTGCATCTTTCCCTCCTAAGTGCATGCCAGAGTGAAGAATATGTGTGTATCTTTGTGTGTGTGTTTGTGTAGTAGATTTTCCCTTTATTTTTTTTCTTGTATTTTACAATAAACAGTACTGTGCAAAGGTCAGAGACCTCCCTTTATTAATTCAATTTCCAATACAAATGTTCAGTTTTAGGAGGCATTTCTGAGGAGATTAGATATAAGATAAACCACTTGCATATGAAAAAAGTTTGCAGAACTGGAGGTTGAACAATTTTATGAAAACAACTGGAGAAAATGGGCTTCCTGACAACCGAGCAAGACCTGCTAGACCATCAAAACTGCCAAGATCAGATAAAGTGTTCATCTTTGAGAGATACAAGAAAATCAAGCTCCACTCTTGCTTCAGATCTGAAAAAATCCACCGATGTTTCTGTCCATCCTTCCACTGTGAGAAGACAGTGCTATGAGTCTGAAAGTATGTGTAGCCATCAAGAAACTGTAACTGTGAAAATAAGATCAAATTTTTCTGTAGACCACCACAACTGGACATCTGAGACATGGAGTGCGGTAAACAAAATGCAACCGATTTCCAAGACTGAACTTAGACTGGAGGTCTTTACATGGAAGCATGGAAAATTATTCCTGCAGATTTCTTTGAAAAACTAAAATCAAGTCCCAGAAAAGAACGGAAGCCAGACGACTAAGGTTGACACCAAATACTGAAAAAATAATATCTTTAGTTGTTGAGGCTTCCATGTTATTTTCTGTTAAATATGTGTTTTTTGCTTTTTTCCTGATGCTGGAAAATTAATAACTATGACTGTTCTCTGACTATTGCACAGTGCTGTATGTGTGCGTTACAGGCTTGTGAAATCTGAACAGCAAGAAGTACAGAAATATTTATACAGTATAACACCAGAAAGGCATCAGATTTCAGAGTGTGCTTCCTGTTAGTTTAAGAATGGAGCGCAGAGTTCAGAATCCCTCTTTCTGCTTTACATATCATGCATAGTATAGCATATACTTTTCTAGCAAGAAAGTGATGTATTGTTCTCAGTGCCTATACAGCACACTGCGTGGGGAAGACCTTATCACAGGCCAGCTGAGATTGCATTTGACCTGAGTTTTATCACAGGTCAGTTGAGATTGTATTTGACTTGAGTCAAAAGGCTCACACTCTCTTTGCGGCATGACGGCTTCTGTAGACGTTGCAGTGAGGACAGAGAGGTTTTTGTTGTGGTAATGTGGCTCCTATGACAGTATGCCTTCTGCTGACACGCACCAGTCTATATCTGTCATTCCAAGAAACAACGCACCAGCTGCTACCTGGATGTAATTTTAATCTTAACCTTGGGAATCTTGCACTCAAAAACATTAATCAGATAAACATAATTATGCCACACATTTCCAATCAGTCAGATATATAAAAGTCAGCATATATAAAATTTGTTACCTCAATATAAAGTACGCCTGCAGTTAATGGCAACAAATCTTCAGTTTGCAAGTTTGAATTATACTTTCAACATATGGTTTTAAGATGAGAAGATACTGTATGACTACAGGAGAGGGAGAAAACCTAAGCTGGAGTTCTGGGGGGGCTTCTCCTTTATTTTTTAAATTGAAATTTTATTATAAAACTAAATTTATTGGCACCAGTAATTTCAGTTTTTACAGTGCTGTAATGTTGTATTTGTGCTTTAATGTGCATGCACAGCTGTCTGTCCCTCAGTTTTGCCACGTTATATTGTACAACATGTAAATAAATAATCAAATGTGACAAATCTGTCTAGCTAGCTTCCCGTAGCAATGTTCATGCATGCTGTTACATAGTTAATAAAATGATCACACTAAAAACCTTCAGGATTGGAATACCAAAACATATAAAATGCATTCAAAGGGTTTTTTGGAGTAAGAACAACAACAAAAAAACTCTACTCTGAACCAAGCAATCTGCCATATTTAAGGAATATTGTAGATTACTGGTGGGTTGTGAAAACTTTGTCACAGGAATGGTCAAGGAAGGTAGATATTGAAATTTAGAGGAAGTTAGATAGGAATGAGGATGTCAGATGTGGTCCCACTCCCAAACTTTAGTTATTTCATAACTTCATTATGTCAAACAACCAGAACAAAAACAACTAATATTTTATTGAAAGATCCAAAAACCAAAACATCTGGACATTCATGATGACCTGTCCTGACTTTTAAAAAGGATGAATGATAACAAGTGGACAGAATAGCATAGGGATGAGTTCATTCACATATCACAAGCCTGTAATGAATTCTTCACAAGGATTTTTTTTTTTTGCTACTCATATGGAGGAGTGGCATGTATAATTGAAAGATCTTGTGATGCAGTGAGTGTGTTTGCTATGCTTTATATGCAGAGATCATGCTGCTTTCAGCTCATCTGATTCTCCTCCATGTGGGTACCAAACTTAAATCTCTCCGGCTGCTCCTTTTGGGATGCAAATAATTCCACTCTTTTCTTTTTTGCCCCTTGCACTGTTTCGTATCACATTAATTCAATTCCCACCACACTTCTGCTGTACTTTCCCTGACCAACCACCCACTCTGTAAGTATTTCCTTCTCCCTACAACCTTGCACATTTGTCGCTCTGTCCCTGTCTCTGTGTGTGCATATGTCTGTCCATCATCCTGCCTTTCCACTCATCCCTATGATGCCTATGATGCCTTTTCTGTTAGGGGCTATTGTCAGTGTGCTGTGAGGTTTGCTGTTGTAATTGTAGTGTTTGGCTGTCAGTGGGCTGCTTCACGCTGATGGTAGTTCAGTGGATTTGTAATTAGTTTTGGAATAAAGCTTAAAAAGCAGTTCACTGTGTTTTTATGTTCATTATCTGACCATGTGCAGAACTCATGCTGGATGATCTGTTGCATTCTTCAAGAACAGCTTGAACTGTGGTTAATTTTGCTAAATGCACTGCTTTATGATTTATGAGTAGTGAGTCAGTTGAAATTTTGCTTTGAGCCATCGCTCCAGAGTGTATGAGGCCATTAGTTGTAGTGACCATGGTGTACCGCCTGTCCATCTGTCTGCGTGTACTCTTATCTGTGAGGTTCAAGAACAGCCTGTTCTGCAGATAGGGAAGGGCAACCTTGAAGGAATGCTCCAGCATTTTTCAGCCAAATCGCTAACACATCTGGATTGTGTTGATTACCACAGACAGTAAGTCTGGCACGTGTCCCTGCACTTAGCAAAAGAACAGAAAAACACATTCAGTATCCACCCATGAGCTTAATAGAGATTAAATTTCCTTTAAAGGAATGCAGTAGCGCACGGGTGCCCAAACTTTTGGTCTTCGGGGGCCCAAAGTGAAATGTTTGTGGTGGGTTGAGGGCCAAGAAGACAAAACACTGTAAAGTACTGTGCAAAAGTCAGAGACCACCCTTTCGTTTATTTAATTTCTTGTCAAAATGGTCATTAGGTACAAGTTATTTATTTTCCAGCATTATGAAAGACAGAAAATATGTATTTAACAGAAAGTTACACAGAAGCATCAACAACTGAAAGAAAAATCTCCAAAGTTCAGTCTTAGAAGTTGGTTGCATTTTCTGCCTCTCACTATCCAAGTAATCCTAAACACATTCAATAATGTTGAGGTATGGACCCTGAGCTGACCAGTCCATCATTTTAAGAACACTAGCAGCTTCTCTGCTGAATTTGCAAACTCTTTTTTGTCCTTATTTGCCTTTGTTCAGTTTTCAGTTATCCTTTCAGACCCATAGTGTTGAGCTGTCTTCTCACAGTGGAAGGATGGACAGAAACACTTTTCAGATCTGAAGCAAGAGCTTGATTTGATCTTATCTATCAAAGACAAAAGCAAGTTGATTATCTAATTTCGCTAATCTGTCTACTCTCTTCAAAAATACCTTGATTGAATTATATTAAATTAATAAATATATTTAATAAATGAATAACTCGTACTTAATGGCCATTTTGACTGGTAATTAAAGAGATGAAGGATGATCTTTGACTTTTACACCATACTGTACAAATAAACAAGGCAGGTTTTAGAAAAAATGTATTACACTATTTTTCACTATGTTTTGTTACTGAAATATTAAAGAGTAGATCATTAAAAGGAAAATAAGAATTGAACAAGTAATATATAGTGTAAAAACATGTTATAGTGTAAAAAATTTGTAGTGGGCCGGCTCAGATGTTGTCACAAGCCATCTTTAGTCCATGGGTCACAGTTTGGGCAGCCCTGCACATTTTTTCAGCCTAATTACTGGAGTGCTACATCTGTAGCAGCTGCCCATTGACTTCCATTATAAGTGCATTGTCAGTCTATGGGTTTTCTGTTCTAGGAGTTGCTTATAAGGTTTTGAAAGGGCCATCCCATTCCCATGAATCTTCCTTAAAGTTACTCCCTTCAGGACAGATGAGCTCCCATAATTAAGAAAACCTTTTTTAAGAGTTCTTTTGTACCAAAAGGGGATTATCCATCCTTTAGATGGATGACAAAGTGAATTTTAAATCTTCAGTCTTTAATCAAAATTACTGTCTGTGTTTATTGACCACAATGCTGGGGTAATCCTTTAAGGTTGTCCTGGTGCTTTTTCTCAACCATAATGTGTTCCCCTTCCCTCCTCTCTTCGTGCAGACAATCACAACACAGCCACCAAAAGCAAGACGAGTGAAGATCTCCTCCAATCCTCCAAGTTCTCAACAGCCTATTCACCTGAGCACTACCAGCACTCACAATCTGAATACTACCAGTACACCAGCTCTCCTAAATGTAGGTGACAAATGCTTGGCTGGTGTAATACAAACACTGCATTCCATTTACTCAAATCCATTTTGTGTAAATGTGGAAAAGGCTGCGCAGATATGAATGGTAATTGTGGTAACTATACCGTGTTGCTCAGCATCAGATCACTTTGATCTTGTCCAGCTGTGCTGAACAAAACCTCAAAGGATCTTAAATAATACTGTGATAGTGATGCTCAAATTGATTTTTTATGCTTCACGGTATGTTTGTTTAGATATCAATGACCCTGAAGTGATGTATGAGAGATGAGGACACTGATTTAAACTTTAATAGATGGTTGCTTGTTTCGTCTTCTGTAAAGGTGTCTAAACACACTGTGCTTTTCTTTGTCACCTAAAGCGATTCTGTTTGATGCTTCTTGCATCATTCATCTAGTCTTCTCTATTTCTCTCTCTATCTCTCTGTCTTCCCTCCACAGCTTTACGGGTTCCCCGGAGAAGATTCTCATCAGGAGGAGAGGAAGATGGTTGGAATTATGGCCTTCAAAGAGTATGCCACTAGATCTCTTTTTCACTCTCTTCAGAACAGCCTTTGTATTACAAGTGCAAGTTGCTAATTTTAGTGCCTGGAAAAAGGATATTTAAAAGAAAATTATGTAAAAGCCTCAGCATCTAAATATATATATATTTTTTGTATTGAGTGTGTTCATACTTACATTTATTACAGCTTCTGTTCTTTTCAGGAGACTTTTTAAGTTTTCAACGAAATCTGCCACTCACAATCCAAGTATTACATTTACATTTACATTTACATCATTTAGCAGACGCTCTTATCCAGAGCGACTTACAAAAAGTGCTTTGTCTATCCAGAGAAAGAATCTTTGCTAGCTACCAATAGGTTAGAGGGAAAGACAGTCCTAAACTTAGATACTGCTAGAATCCCCAAACACATTCAAAAAGGTTGAGGTCTAGGCTCTGTCCATAGGCCAGTCCATAGTTGTTAGAAAACTAACAGCTTCTTTATTTGATAGACTTTAGGAGTTATGAGTAAAGTTTATATATAAAGTATATATATTTATACACAAACACATAGACACACACACACACACACACACACACATATATATATATATATATATATATATATATATATATATATATATATATATATATATATACACAGACATCTGTCAGCCATAACATTAAAACCACCTTCATTAAAACTACACTCATTATACATTTTATCACTAACATCTAAAATGGTGGTGCCATGTTAGTGTCAGCTAATGCCACTGATGAAGTACTACATGATGACTAACGCAAACTGTGCAGCAATAGATGAGCTGTTGTCTCTGGCTTTATATCTACAAGGTGGACCAACAAGTTAGGTGTGTCTAATGGAGTGGACAGTAAGTGGACACAGTGTTTAAAAACTCCAGCAGCGCTGCTGTGTCCGATCCACCAGCGCAACACACACTAACACACCTCTACTACGTCAGTGTCACTGCAGTGCTGAGAATGATCCACTACCCAATTAATACCTGCTCTGTGGAGGTCCCTTGGGGGTCCTGACCATTGAAGAACAGGGTAAAGGGACTAACAAAGTACACAGAGAAACAGATGGACTACAGTCTAAAATTGTAGAACTACAAAGTGCACCTATATGTGAAGTGGAGCTGATAAAATGGACAATATTTACACGTATTCATGTTAGCTCTGACATGAGCAAAATAAAGATTTTAAATCCAGTGTAGTGACAGTCAGTCTCTGATTGATCTTATCATCGTGTGTACTGAAGGCATTCTGCCTCACTTTCTGTCTCTCTACTAACTCTACTTATCCACACACAGACCAACTCTCTCTCTCTCTTTCTCTCACACACTCTTTCTCTCTCTCACCCTCAGATTCAGGGTGGGATCGGCAGGATGATCCTGAAGGAGGAGATGAAAGCCCGCTCCGGTTCCTATGACAACGACCCCTGGGGCAGCGCACGGAACTCCCGCAGCGGCAGCAAGGAGACGCTGCACAGCATGAGCTACAACAACACCATCAACGGCTGTGAGTGCTGCGCCACAGGGGAGGGAGGCAGGACCGCTGTGCTTTGCGGTGTCATTTGTGTCATCAGGGCCTGCATAAACATGGACAGGGGCATGACATAGGCTGCTGTTATTACCCTTACCAAACACACCTCATTCTGCCAAAATCGAGTGCAAAACATCCTTGTCGTGAGAAAACCTCATATCTCTGAAATGGTGACCTAATAGGTCCATATTAAGTCCATATAAAGCAGTAATAAATATGAGTGTTCTGAGTTTGTCACACCACAGAAAACTTATTAACCACCCAGCCAGATTTGAATGACTGAAAAAATAGCCAAGTATAAATAAATTACATTTCAAAATCATGACAAAATAAGTAGTATTCTGTGCTCTGAAACACTGGGGTGTGTCAGCTGAAGGTGCTGAACCAAGGGCCAGTGAGCCGTAACGAGAGCCGTGTGAAGTGTAGCCGCTGGGCACTGGCCTAGCTCAAACAGCTTTAAGGGGCTAGAGTAGGCTGGCTGGCTGATAGTGCCTTTAGTGCCAAAGTTAGCGAAGCTAGCACAGTAATTTTTATAAAGTCATAGTGTTAGGGAAGGGGTCATGCTACACTGTGTGCATAATTCTTAGGCAAGTTGTATTTTTGAGGATTAATTTTTTTATTGAACAACTACAGTGCTCTCGGTCAATCCAAAATGTTAATAAACCTCAAACCAGAATATTTAAGAAAGTAAAAGTGAGGTTTTGGCTTTCTTAGGAGAACATCTATGTGTGCATAATTATTGAGCAACTATTCGTGTTCAGAATTATTATGCAACTAAATGAAAAATTAAAAATCTTCCTCACTTGTTTTTCTCACATCTCACTTGTTTATTTTCATCTGTTAAAGTGAGAATAATAAACAAACAACTCAAAATTTACAAATAAACATTTCTGACAATTCAAAAAAAAAAAATGACCAATATAGCCACCCTTCTTTTCAATAGCAGTCTTAAGCCTTCCATTCATAGAGTCTGTCAGTTTCTTAATCTGTTGATCAACTTTCTGTGCAGCAGCAACCTCAGCCTCCCAGACACCGTTCAGAGAGGTTAAGGCCTTTACCTTGCCACACAGTGGAGTACTTCGATGCATGCGATGGAGCTTTGTCCTAAATAAAAATTATGGTATACTTGAAAGATGCAGACTTTTTCCTGTACCACTCCTTGATGAAAGTGTCTTCTAAAGACTGGTAGTAGGTTTGGGAGTTGATTTTGAGTCCATATTTAACCCAAAAAGCTCATCTATAATAATACCAGCCCATAGCAGTACCCCACCTCCACTGGTGTCTGTGGAGCTCTGTGCCCATTACTAATCCAGCCATGGGCCCATCGATCTGGTCCATCAAGAGTCACTCTCATCTCATCAGTCCATAAAACCTTTGAAAAATCTGTCTTCAGATATTTCTTGGCCCAGTCTTGACGTTTCAACTTATGTATCTTGTTTAGTGGTGGCCTTCCTTACCTTGGCCATTGTCTCTGAGCACTGAACACCCCGTACTTCTGGGCACTCCAGGTAGGTTGAAGTTCTGGAATATGACAGCACTGGAGGATAATAGGTTCATGGACGCTTCACGTTTGATTCTTCTCAAGTCTTTGGCAGTTAATTTGCGTCTTTTTTTCTCAACACATTTCTTGTGACTCTCGCTCTTTCTCCTTGCACCACTATTTGCAACAAAACGTTTGAGGGTTCTGTGATCACGCCCCAATATCTGAGGAAAAGAAGCTGCCTAATAATTGTGCACACCTTGATATAGGGTGTTGATCTCCTTAGGCCACACCCTCCCTCATTACACAAATACACATCACCTGATACTTGATGCTTAAATCCAATAAGCATTCAAGTTTATACAGCTTGGAGTTGGAAAATATGCACAAAAAAATGGTCAAAGTCTCACTAGCCTAATAATTGTGCACACAGTGTAAGTGTGGCTCCAGAGGATCATCAAGCCATGATTTCAGACCTGCCTAAAAACACAAAAATGATAAAAAAATGGTCTAGTCTAACTCCACAATTCAGTACTACATAGTTCACAGTCTTCTCACGTGTTTTCAGCAAATATTTTTTAACATGTATAAAGTGTTTAGAAACAAATTTTTTAATTTTCTTCACACAGACTTTAAACTCTAACAGCTCCACACTTTACTCACGTACTAGTGTCACAGTAGTGTTGTAGGGGCATAGTTGTTACTGGCAGTTAAGTACAGTATGTGTACTTAACAGTAGGGAATACCAACACCACAAAGCAATTTCTGCTTAATTCAGTAATAATTTACCAAAAAAATGTAAACATAGTTATATAGAGGAGTTTGATGTGAAATTGTAGAGAAACTTCTTTACAGTGGTGGTGATAGGAACCAGAAATGACAATGTCCACAACATAAATCAGCATAAATATATCCATTTTATGTACTATCCAAAACCATCAGTGAAACTTGTGTCCTTGAAGTTTAATACAGAATAAGTTTTCTTTAGAGACTATTTTGCCTTAAAACGCCTTGCATATACCTCTCTGCCATTAATAGATTTTAAAGGCCAAAATCTTCTCAATACTATCATAAAACAATGTCTTAAGCATCGGGCAGTGTATTCATAACCATTTTATATGAGATGGCTTTCTTTGAGTTAGCTTTTAGAGGCATTTGGCTCTTCAGATATCTGGTTCCTATCACCACTACTGCTAACTGACTCGGCAAGTTTCTCTAGAACAGAGCAATTCACATCAAACCACTCTGAATGACTTTGTTTATATCCTAAACATTTGATTATGCAGAACTGCTGAAGGATTAATGGAATTCCCCTTCAGTTGGTTGCAGAGCCGGTCCTGACCTTTGGCTTTAAGCAAAATTCTGCACAGGGGCCCTCTTACCTGACCCATGAGCCATGTAAACCATTTGCAGTTTCCACATAGTCACACGTGTGACAATCCTCCCTCCTTCAATCTCATGGTGTTTCTGACCAGATGGATAGTTCTGCTTCATCCTCTAATCGAAGTTGTAAATAAAAAGCAGCTTTGTCATGATGAGGAGGTGGCACCCTTGCATAATTTGCAGGGCCCTACACAATGTGCGTAGTGAATATATAATATATACTCTGAACTGTGTTTGAAGCCATTTTAAAAGACCATATACTCATAGGGCTACACAAATTCTATATTATTATGCCAAGATGTTAAACATTGTACTGATTATGGAATGTTTGACTCTTGGCAACTAAAGCCTGCTTTTAGCAAATGAAATTAGTTATTTAGTTAGTTAATTAGTTAATTAATTAATATTGGGGTATTTTCTGATATTGTATTTTCTAGCCATTTTATAAAAGCATAAAGCCACTCAAAGGCATGAATTACAGTGATTGTAGCATTGTGAGGAGGGTTTTAGGCACTCTGCTTCACACTGTGGTTAACAACACCCTTTAACCATGGTAAACTCACCGTAACACAGCGTCTTGTGGCTTATTGCTTTGAAAGCCTTAATAACTGAATAATAAGCCTAGAGTTTAAGGGATTAACTTTGGACTTTTTCGTTAGGTTTTTTCAGCATTTTCAAATTTGTTAGAGTTATCTGGTTTTCTTATGACAGCAACAAAAAGATGCTGGCTTGCTAACAGATTGCCATGCCACCCTTATTTCATGATGTTTGCGAGTCGGAGCCATGGAGCTGATTTTCTGTTGTGGAAAATCCCCCCTCCCACCACCCCCCTTCAAAGTTTTGTCCCCCCAACTGGCACACTCAGGGGAAAAGCAGCAAGAAGATAACAGGTGCAGTGTGGTTTTACCTTAGCGTGTGGGCGATTCAGAGTGTAGTTCAGCTATACTGATGATTGTAGCATAGCTGCTGTTTCACTCACAGTCAGAATGCAGTTGAAGGTGCTGCTGTCGATGGAGGCATGGCTCTGAGCCAACTCATTAAGCTCAGTGAAGCCTCAGCATACTTTACAGTAAACTGCAGGATGACGTCAACAGAGTTACTGATTTTGAGGCAAGTAAACAGAGTAAACTCACTGGCTCTTCTACAAGCCAGTGTTCACATAGACTTAAACGGCGGTACTTCAGTGTACACATATCTCTCCCATTCACTTTGTCTATCTCTATCTCTCTCTCACTGCACACTTTCTCCCTCACACACATACAGTGAATGACCTTTCCATACCTGAGGCAGCAGAGCAGAAATTGTGCATTTTTTGCTTTGTGCTGATGTTTATTACCAGCCCCCTTCCCTGTGAGGAAAAATGGAGGAGAGTAGGGCTGAAAGATTGATTGTTTTTATATCAGCATTGCAATTTGAAAGAGTACAGTTTTCAAATCACAAGAGCTGTGATTTTTATAATAGCCTACATTATCCATGATGGTGTCTTACAAAGTGGGGAAGTTTAACCCAATAGCTCATAAACCGCCTTTCTGACCAGTAAGAAGTAACCAAAGGCCCATGTGTTATGACATCCCAACCACAACTAACTGGCAGTCTGGAGCACTACATACAGCATTCAAACATCAGGTTAGTGGGTTTGCTGGTGTTCTTGTCCAAAAAACAGGCCTTGAACTTAATTTGTAGAAAATAATTGCAATTCAAATCGCAATCACAGTATTAGGAAGAAAAATCGCAGTTAGGTATTTTCTACAATTTATCCTAGGGGAGACAGAGAGAGATAGTGAGATAGTAGTAGTTTTGACTGTGATTTTCTTTCTAGTACAGCAGCTAATTCTGTGATGGGCTCTGACCCATTTATAGACGAATTTACGTTTTCCCCTAATATTTTTTGGCTTATGTTTGACTGTATATGTTTCATTTCGCTTACTGTAACTCTGATGTTCTCTGCAGTTTTACTCTCGCTCTTTCTCCTTGCACGTGTGTGCGGGCTGCTCTCCTCATTTCTATTTCGGTGTCTCTCATGGGGAGATGCACAAAGCAGCTGGAATTTTTCCCGCTCTCCGTTCTTCTCTCTCACACTCTCTCTCTCTCTCCCTGTTTCTTTCTCTGTTGTCCTCCCTTCCTCCAGCATCACTGCTGCTCTCGCCATGTTTCCCTCCTCTCCACCACTGTGCCTCCCGATGCGTGGAACAGCCACCCAGTGTCCCTGTCCTCTTTTATTCATGAGTAGTAAGAGGAGGAAAGCTTTTTTTCACTTATCACAGCAAATCAAAGGTCTGGATATGTGGAGTGGAAAACAGAGGGGGTCTCATGAAGCGTGTTATTGACTCATGCAGATAGGAAGCATAAAGCACAGAGTGAGGGTGGTACAGTGAGTGTGAGGGACAGGTGAATGACGTTTATTAAGTACACCTACCTTGTGCTTAGATTTATTGGACATTTTAACAGATGCTTCTACAGTACTCTGCAAATTTCAGAGACCACCTTCATTTATTTAATTTCCTATTAAAATGGCTTTTTATTTGTTTTTCAGCAACACTATGAAAAATATATATTTAACAGAAAATTACACAAAATGTGTCTAGTTTCTGCTTCTCACAATCCAAATAATCCCAATCACACTCAGTGATGTTGAGCTCTGGGCTCTGTGGTGGTCAGTCCATCATTCAGAACACCAGCAGCTTCTTTGTTTGATTTACAAATTTTCTATTCTGAGTAAAGGCTTCCTGGGAGCTACACATCCTTTCATAGCATTGAGTTGTCTTCTCACAGTGGAGGGATGGACAGACCCACCTGTAGATTATTTTTACACCTGATGCAAGAGTGGAGCTTGATTTTTTCTCATCTGTTATACAAATGTACTGTTTATCCAATAGTGAAAGTGTTGGTGGTCTACCAGGTCATGCATGGTTATCAGCAGTCTTATTTTCTCTTTGCTCTTTTAATCATTGTCAATTTTTAGAAATTCCTGTTTTTTCAGTTATTTTCCTTTGAAAATCCTATGCAAGTTGTTTATATTATATCTATATCTCCTCAGAAAGGTCTCCTGAAAAATTAATAACTTGTACTTGGCTGTTTTGACTGGAAATTAAATAAATGAAGGTTGGACACATGTACTGAACGTAGTTCATCTGTTGCTGTACAATTTGTCCACCCCTCTCAATCTCATCCATTAATGGAAAGCAGCCACCGCAGAACCACTGCTGATCAAATGTTTGGTTTGTGGAGCATTCTCTGTCCTGCAATAATACCACCATGGTAGTGGCATTTAGTGGGCACACTGCTACAAGTGATCAGGCACAGAAGTGTTAACTGGAGTTTTTACTCACTACTTTAGACACATATACCTTGTTGCTCCACCTTGTAGGTGTACAGTTAGAGCAGCAGTTCCCAAACCTGGTCCTTGAGCACCCCCTGCCCTGCATATTTTGGTGTTTTTCTTTTTCCAGCACACACACAAATGTGCAGGGTAGCAGGTACTTCAGGAATAGGATTGAGAACTTGTGAGTTAGAGAATAGACACTTATTTTTTACATACACGCTTTCATCAGTCATCCTGTAGTCTAGGTTTATTTCATTTTACATCTTGAATCAAATTTCTATTCTTGGATTTTGTGAATGCTTGTAGTTAACTGTTGATGCAGCTGATTGGCCACATTTTGCACCTACCAGTAATTACAAAATGCTGGACCACAACGTGGATAGAAGGCCTGGAATTGAATGCTCTTCATCGTCAGCAGTGCCACTGTGCCTGATACACTCCTACCAGCACTCACATACACTTCCATGCTCAGAATGGTCCACCATCCACATTATACCTGGTCAGCAGTAGTTCTGTGATGATCTCTTTCCACTGATGGACAGAGAAGAAGGTGGCTGATTGTGGAGCAGCAGTTGAGCTACAGTCACAGCAATTGTGTGGCTACATAGTGCACTTACAATTGCAGAAATTTAAGTTTGTTCTCTGTAGAGGATGTGTTAACTTATTTTATGTAGAAAAAAGCGAACCAGGGGCATTTAAAATTGTGCATATGATTGTAGCTACTAGGTAGATGTACGTAATAAACTGGCAGCACCAACATGTCCTTGAGCAGTGTTTCTTAATTCTGGTCCTTGAGGCCCACTGCCCTGCACTTTTTAGTGTTTTCCCTTCTCCCAACACACCTGATCCAACTAATCAGCTCGTTAACAGCCCATTAATGAGTTAAAAGTGGGTGTGTTAAAGCAGAAAAAGCACAAAATGTGGGCCTTCAGGACCAGGTTGAGAAACACTGTGCTAGAGATTGTCATTGGCAAAACTACAGCTACACAAGCAACTACCAAAAAAGGCATGTGCTTGAGAATATGAGCGTCTAGTTTTGTACAGAAGAAGAGGAATCTCATTTACGTTTTCTCATAGCCAGGAGAAGGAGGAGGAGATGCTAAAGGAGTGGTTATGTTTTTTCTTAATTTGAAAAAAAAAAGAGCTGAAGACTTACTAATCAGAAAATGAATCAGTTTTAAGTGCCATCTGGAGATCAAAGCCAGGCCTATTTTATTAATGAATGAGATTAAGTTGGGGGGGGACAGAAAGGCATCATTTAATACATCAGATTTCCTTTGAAGCTGCATTTTTATGAGATCCCGTAGTCATTTATTAATTCTGTTTTATATTCATTTTCTTCAGAATGACAAAACAGTTTCCAAACTACTATGTAATAATCTCTGTTTAACTCGGCTGACGTACCTAACCCCAATCCTGAAATCCATTCCCTGTAGTTTTTTTGCCCCTTGAATTTTTCTTATGTTATATATTTGTAATTGAGTAATTGTGCGTTTCCATTGTATAATGTGGTAGTCATGCTGTACTCTTGTTTGCCTGCATCTCTGCTTTTCTCCTTTCTCTCCCTCCATTTGTGTTTTTTTCTCTCCTGTTGGACAGTTTTAAGGCTCATTGAGTGCTTTGATGTGTGGTGTTTGTGGGCCTGGTAGGCTGCTTGCTTCCAGCTATGATTGCTTGCACACATTTCTGTAAGACTGTGAATTTCTCTCTTCTGCCACTTAGCTGTTAGGGCCCAGTCTTGTTCATTAGTACAACACTACAGAATTTGCAGACAGACGTAGCATTTACAGGGTAGTAGTGAGCAACCTACTGAAATTCTTTTAAAGTTTTCTTCTTAGAATATATTATACATGTATGCCGCAAACAAGCACAGATAATGCAGCGTACATACAGCATGCAAAACACACTAAGGTTAGCCCGCTTAGCTGAATTAAAACAGAGAGAAATATGTAAAGAGGCGGTTAGTCTTTATCCAACATGCTGTACTTCTGTTTTCTCTCACACCACCAGCAGCACCACCTTCCTCATTCAGCTGTGTATGACTACCCTTCGGTCTAAGGGCCTGATCCTTGCATCAAGCTGCAGCAGTGTCTGAGGGCACAAGTTTATGGGATAAATATAGAAAAATGACATTTGGGCATAAACCAAACATTTAGCAGCTTACACGTACACATACAAAATATTTTAAACTGACTTCATTGTTAAATATTGTTCATATTAAATGTTGTGAATAATAAGCCTCTGTTAACCTACAAAAATAAGTGTACTTAAGTATCTAAAATGAAATTGTCAGAAATTTTAGTTATACTGTGATATACATTTTTGGCCATACTACCCACTATTAGAATAGACCTAAGACACGAAATGAGAAATTTCATTCTACACTCTGTACGTTTATCTCAAAGTCACACTAGAGGTATAAATCCCTGATCTCACATTGATTCGATTATGATTTTTAGGAAATAATTCAGTACATTTTTTTAATATTTATTTTTGTGTAATTCATAATTATTAATAAAATGAAGGAACTGCTAATTATAAAATACATATCAATACATTGTGCCTTTTTAATGTATGCTTTTGAAATAATGATGAAAATTGTCTGAAAATGATCATATGTTCATAACAATGTATCAGTGCATTTTTACACCCCTAATTGACATTGAAAACACACACATCTTCTAAGCCACTTATCCTTCTGGGTCATAGCAGGACACACCCTGGACAGGTCACCAGTCCATCGCTGGGCAGACAGACATATACATTTACACACACCTAGGGGCAGTCTAGCATGTCCAATTAGCCTGACTGCATGTCTGTGGACTGTGGGAGGAGGCCGGAGTACCTGGAGGAAACCCACGCAGACACAGGGAGAACATGCAGACTATAATAAAAAAAAAGACAAAAATATTTTATAAATATATATACATATTTTATATTTTATAAAAATAAAAATAACTTGAGAATTTTTATTCTAGCCAACAAATTGCAGTCAGATCGAGGCATTGATGCATTTTTAAAGACAAAACACTACTGACATGCCCTGAAATTTGCTCCAGTTTCATCTGCCAAACCATATGAATAACCTGCTGTCTTTTCTCCCTGCTGCACTCTACTTATTACACCCTGTTTGCAGTTTGCAGAATGTGTCTCAACTTACTTTCTTTTGGCTGTAAACACTTTGTCTGCGCCAATACGGTATGATCCTGATTAAGAGAATTACATATTGGTGTAGACACTGTGTTGAAGCATCAGATTCTTCTTTTTCATATTTCTGTCTTCTTTTTCAGCTCCCCAGGCACCCTATCCAGCTGAAAATGGTGAGTGCCTCCTCGTCTCTACACTCTGTTGAACAGATGAGGCCAGATGTGAAGAAGTGGAGGTGATTTAGTGGGGGAGTGATAGCATTAGAAGGAAAGCAGGTCATGTTTGTTCACCTGGTGGTATGCAGAATTCAGTTGGGGATTTACACTAGTGGGGGGCATTAAGACACTCTTTGGGAAAAGTAGGAGCTACAAGCTCAATTAAATGTTTGGTGGCAGAGCTGTGAGTTGTTAGCTGTGTCACCAGCGCCCTCTACTGTTCACACCATCCGCAACTCTTGTTGCGTTTAAATGCTGATATACTGAAACAAATGTGCTGATTTGTGTGACATGTGATTGTTTGTCTCTAATCAGTGCAATGTTCTTGTTCATTTTAAGACTACATATCTAAATCAGCCTCTTTACCAGGGTATGGCAGGAATGGAATTCATAGGGTAAGACTTTTACATAACAACAGTTAAATAAATACAACTGCCATTTAGTGTGTATGATATTTAAAACTCATAGTCAACTTAACCATAATTGTTTGTTTTCCAGCAGCAGAATACAGACTACTTTCAGTATGACAGCGGAAATGAAGTCAACTGGGGAATCAGAGGTTCGTTGTAGCAGCTTTGTTGTGGCATTAGCTGTGGTGCAAAATTATACTAATTTTCATGTAATGTTAGGGTGGATTATTGCCCTCATAAACAGCAACTTACCGAAAATGTGTTTGTGTTTATTATTTTCTCTTGCAGAATACAAGGTGAGCATGACTGTACGTGAAACCATCCTGAAACACACTCGCCTGCTAAGGCTGGCTTTACACAATGAAACCTTTATGCATGTTGTGAGTTGCCTGCACCATATTTTCTGTGCAACTTGTCAGTCACATGAAGCAATTCAAAAACAATCAAAGTTGCATGCAACACATTGAGTTAGTCCACGAGTTATTTATAATTAGCAGCTCATTTTTGATGCACTGTATCATTCTGGTTATTAAGTCTGCAAGATTACATATGTGCATATGTTCTATGTCTATGTTTGTCATTCATCAGTCTGTCTAAGGTTCTTTATTATATATAAGTTTTTGTCTGTTCTGTGTATGTTAAGCCTTTGAAAATTAGTGTCTAAGTAGCCTTTATGGTTGCATCAATGTCTCTTTGATTCTGTCCTAAAAGCACTGAAAGTTCATTGAGGAGTGTATCTCAGTCTCCTCTTCTGTAATAACTTTTAGCGTTTGGATCCCAGGTGAATCTGAGTTCTGTGTAACAAGTGTCAAGAAAGGGAAAACACTAATGATCTGGTTCCGATGATTACAGTAACAGCAAAAGCTAAAGAGGAATAAAAAGCAAGCCGTTAGCGTTAACTGGCTGGTTAACACAGCTGGTTACAGAAACGTTGATGTTGATTTGTTGTTTTGTTCAGGAAACTGACGAAATGAAAAACTACCAACCTTTCATAAAGTCCATCAGGAGAGTCTCCTTTTCAACCGTCCAGTAGTCATCTTCTGCTTTACTTTCTTGTACTTGGGCTGGTGAAATCAGTCGCTTGAAATGAAGTCGTTTGATACGTGACACATTATCATGGTTTTAATTGGCTGTTTCATGAATTTTTTTTTCAAGTGAATTGCAGGACATTTTACACTACGCAACTCAAGTGCAGTTTAGTTTCATGTAGATTTCAAGCAACTAAAGTTGCATTAAAGCTTCACAGCCTGCCTAAGCTCTGGTCAGCAGCTGAGGATTTACAGTATTTCAACACGAACTCTGTGGGGTCAAACCAGCGTCCTGTTGGACTGAAGAGACGTAAACCAGAGAGAGGAGAAATCAGTGCTTCCAGGTCATAAGGCCACAGGAAGCTTCCCTGGCCGGTTCCCCAGGGCTGGGAGACTGCCAGGGGGGTCACAGCAGGGGCAGAGGTCTATATGACCTCAAGGCGAGAATGTAACTGTCTAGCCTCAGGCAGCTTCCTGTCTTTGTCACAGCTACTGTGTCAGAGACTTGCAGAGAGACTGTGAGGTGATTTTGCTTTATTTTCCATGAGAGCAAGAAGGGGGTCCAGCGAGGGTTCTACTTCCTGAGAACAGTGCCCAGCTTTCCATAGTGCCACAAACGTGGACAGTCACCGTACATTTGCACTGTCACAATCAATTTATCAATACTAGTCATAGACAAATAAACCAATTATTTTGCCAATTAATCGAACAAGGCCAAACAAAAAAAGTGTGCTTTACTAAACAATAATAGACTATGCCTAAAATTTCAAATATTCTAAAATAGATTTTTGGAAAGAAAAGATTAACGAGAAGGCCTTTAAGACATTTCTTTTAAAATCATTTACATAAAAACTAAAAAAGGGCATTTAAGTGAGTGTGTCTATCAGGCACTGTATCTCGCTGTAAGTAAGATCATTTAAAATATGAGCTTTTCTGCCAACTGATCACTGTTGATTGATCAAGAACAATAATTTAATCCATTTTTTATGACCAAGTTTAAACTATTAATCATGGCAGCCCTGCTGTATACTGAGCATACGTTCAGTTTAGTCTTTAGCACAATAGTTACAGCCAGAGGTTCTGAGTTAACTCTACCAGAGATGTAGAGTTATATTCCCTGTGCTGACAGCAGGCAAGAAACACTATGCTTTAGGCCAGCACTCGGCTCAGATGACAGGTGTGAAATAAATCAGCACATGTTTCTTATTCTATCTACCCACTTTTTGCCTTGAGCAATGTACTTTATCAATGCAGCTTGGCTGACCATGTGGTCAGAGCTTTTTCCTCTGGCTGAAAGTGAATATAAATGCATGTGTAAGTGTGTGGGAAGACTTATATGAAAATGATTTCATGATAATGATCTTCCCTTATCATAAATTCACTGCTCATTACTACCTGTTTAATTGACTTTTCCTACAGGTTTACCCTTATGAGGCTCTGATTGTGACCACCAGAGGGCGAAACCGGTTACCAAAGGATGTAGACAGAACCAGACTGGAGGTAAGTCAGCCCACTATCTCTTAACATATCATCCAGTATTGTGCAACGTTTTGTGAAGCTCAGTGGGCATTTTTCAAAGTTAGATAATTTTTCCAGTCCAATCTGGATGCACATTTAAACAAATGCATTGTTGCAAATAAAGACAGTACAATGTCAAAATTTAGTTTCAAAAGTTTTGAGATAATTTTCAGAACTGTAATTGTTATTGTTCAGAAAACTGACAAACTGAAACTACCAAACCTTCGTAAAGAAACCAGTTTTCGTAAAGTAATTGCCTTGAGATACATTTAAGATATTTGGAAATAGCCTCATCTGGAATGGACTGAACATATAAAATGATTTAATTCTGAGAGCTCTCTTTATATTTAGAATTATATGTCTCTCTCTGCAAATGAATCCAGTCTGCAGTGCAAACTTCACCACATTGTTTACGATTTATACTCTATTGTCATTAAAACTTATTATACATGAAAAGTAGGTAAACATAAAGGTAGCTGTTGCAGTTTAATGCAGCTCTGTTACAGTGTTACAGTGCAAAACACTGTTTACCTTTTTAGCACTATCATACATGGCATATGCTGTCAAGAGTTGCAATGACAGATTTTATTCAGAAATATAAATGTCATGTTACCATTGACAGCTAGCTAGAGTACACAAAAAATCTTATTACTAGTAATGGTCACATAACACTGTTATATTACAGTACAATATCTGCCGTGACATCTCATGACAGCATATGACGTCTGCCATGACATGTTTATGGTGTGGTTATGTCAGTGTTACGTATCAGCGTTCAGGTAAAGTGTTACCAAAAAGTCTAAAAGCTAATTTTACTTTTGTGGCTTGTGAGCCATCATCATAACCAAGTTACTAAGCCCTATAACAAGCCTACTGCTGAGCTTGGGGACATGGGTAAAAGATTCATTTTGCTTGGCTTTCTCACATTCATTAGTCATACTGACTGGACTGCAGACAGAACCTTTCAAAGGCAACTTAATATGAGGTTTTCAAAAAGGAACCTTTTATTTTTTAAAAATACAGACTGTATCACATTTGTTTTCAAAAAAGGTCAACTTAAGTACAAAAATCAGCGCTAAATGATTAACTACACTCCTCAAAAAAATAAAGGGAACACTTAAACAACACAATATAACTCCAAGTAAATCAAACTTCTATGAAATCAAACTGTCCACTAAGGAAACAACACTGATTGACAATCAATTTCACATGCTGTTGTGCAAATGGAATAGACAACAGGTGGAAATCATTGGCGATTAGCAAGACACACTCAATAAAGGCGTGGTTCTGCAGGTGGGGACCACAGACCACTTCTCAGTACCTATGCTTTCTGGCTGATGTTTTGGTCACTTTTGAATGTTGGTGGTGCTTTCACACTCGTGGTAGCATGAGACAGACTCTACAACCCACAAAAGTGGCTCAGGTAGTGCAGCTCGTCCAGGATGGCACATCAATGCGAGCTGTGGCAAGAAGGTTTGCTGTGTCTGTCAGCGTAGTGTCCAGAGCCTGGAGGCACTACCAGGAGACAGGCCAGTACACCAGGAGACGTGGAGGAGGCCGTAGAAGGGCAACAACCCAGCAGCAGGACCGCTACCTCCGCCTTTGTGCAAGGAGGAACAGGAGGAGCACTGCCAGAGCCCTGCAAAATGATCTCCAGCAGGCCACAAATGTGCATGTGTCTGCACAAACGGTTAGAAACCGACTCCATGAGGATGGTATGAGGGCCCGACGTCCACAGATGGGGGTTGTGCTTACAGCCCAACACCGTGCAGGACACTTGGCATTTGCCAGAGAACACCAGGATTGGCAAATTCGCCACTGGCGCCCTGTGCTCTTCACAGATGAAAGCAGGTTTACACTGAGCACATGTGACAGACGTGACAGAATCTGGAGATGCCGTGGAGAGCGATCTGCTGCCTGCAACATCCTTCAGCATGACCGGTTTGGCAGTGGGTCAGTAATGGTGTGGGGTGGCATTTCTTTGGAGGGCCGCACAGCCCTCCATGTGCTCGCCAGAGGTAGCCTGACTGCCATTAGGTACCGAGATGAGATCCTCAGACCCCTTGTGAGACCATATGCTGGTGCGGTTGGCCCTGGGTTCCTCCTAATGCAGGACAATGCTAGACCTCATGTGGCTGGAGTGTGTCAGCAGTTCCTGCAAGATGAAGGCATTGAAGCTATGGACTGGCCCGCCCGTTCCCCAGACCTGAATCCGATGGAGCACATCTGGGACATCATGTCTCGCTCCATCCATGCTTTAGTCCAGGTCTGGGAGGAGATCCCTCAGGAGACCATCCGCCACCTCATCAGGAGCATGCCCAGGCGTTGTAGGGAGGTCATACAGGCACGTGGAGGCCACACACAATACTGAGCCTCATTTTGACTTGTTTTAAGGACATTACATCAAAGTTGGATCAGCCTGTAGTGTGTTTTTCCACTTTAATTTTGTGTGTGACTCCAAATCCAGGCCTCCATTGGTTAATAAATTTGATTTCCATTGATGATTTTTGTGTGATTTTGTTGTCAGCATATTCAACTTTGTACAGAACAAAGTATTCAATGAGAATATTTCATTCATTCAGATCTAGGATGTGTTATTTGAGTGTTCCCTTTATTTTTTTGAGCAGTGTATATGTACATAAATCAGTGTAAACAAAAATGTCAGATTAATTCTAAGATTATGAAATGTAGATCAGTCAAACATGATTGGTGTATGTTGTTTGCTTCTTTAGTTTTGCACTGTAGCTGTGAGGCTAATGTGGATTACAAGTACAAGTAACCACCATAGCATTGTTCAAACTGCATACCTTGGTCATCGCACTTGCCTCAAACTGTACTGTTTATGTACTTTCTGTCACTGTATAACATACTGTTTGTTACAAAAAATGGACAAAGGTACATCACATAGCTAACAACATTTGTACAGTACTAGCAGCTGTCTTGAAACCTACATTTTGTAGGTGCGTTTGTTCATTTTTATGGATAACAGTATGTCATACAGGGTCAGAACCACATAAACAAGACAATTTGAAATTTCTCAATAACTTGTCACAGTTTGAAGTAAGGGTGTGGTGATTTAGGCATTTAGGCAGTTTGCACAATGCTACCAGTGTGGTAAATAAGTTTCCTTTACCTGTTAGCTACATTAGCCTTGCTGCTCCAGTGCAAAACCAAAGAAGCTAGCTTTACTCCAAAACATGTCCTGGCTGATTGACAACGTTTGGGGTAAAGAAAATTGTGTAAATTTTGGCTGAACCATTGCTTAAATACCTCCACTTATCATATGTCCTTTCCAGAGGCATCTCTCTCCTGAGGAGTTCTACCAGGTATTTGGGATGACCATGGCCGAGTTTGACCGACTGGCACTGTGGAAGAGGAACGAAATGAAGAAGCAAGCCAGGCTGTTCTAGTGTTCCTGCTCTACATGCAGAGACAGAGCTACTCACCTGTCCAAATCCAGCCAAACAAATACTGCCTCTTCACTACACATTCATACCCCAACTGAACAACAGACGCACTGTGCCACTGGACATGTGACAGGCACATACTTAGTATTACATGGACCAGGATCTGTGAGAGGAAGAATGAGAAAAAGAGAGTAATGAGAAAGACTTGTGGTCATATTTGGCTCTTTGTTTTAAGTGTTGCTTTAATAGGTTGTTTTTTTTTATTTATGAATGGCAAGAATGAGGACATGTGAAGATTTGGGATTTTGCCTTACATTTTTGGTTAACTTGCACCAGCAGAGTGACTAGAATGTAGAGTGTTAATCAGAGATTTTGTTTTGTTGTTCATCGCTTGGGTAAACACATTAATATCTTTTCTTAGCATTTACTTCTCTTTATGGACCATTTTTCAGCTTAAAATAGTGGCACACAGCAGAACTAAAGCAAAATAATAGGTTAGACTGATGGAAACATGCAAGCTTTTGCATGACCATGGAAACCAAAGTTTGACTGTCGTGTTTGATGTAAAGAATAAACAAAATGTAGGGAATGAGCACCACTCTTGCTATTGTGAGTACTGAATGTAAATTTTCTCCACAAAAAAAAGAGGATTATTAGGCACAGTCTGAAGAATGTGTTGAACCATCCATAGAGTTTTGTGATGGTAGAGGTAGGCATCAGTGGCTAGTTTATCATTATTTCTTGCAATCTTGAAGAAAAATATCTAGGAATATCTACACTGACGGCTGATGCGGAGTGTTAAAGAAGAAATATAAGAGGGTCATGGTGCATTTTTTTTTCCAAGATGCTATATTAATGCTTCTGTTTACTCGTATTTAGAGTTATCGTTGTTGGGAAGGAGCTTTGATTTTATTTTTAATTATTTTATTTTTTCTTCAGCAACCTGTTTTGGACTTGTTCCATTTTGGCTTATGGCATTAAGTTAATACTCATACGCTATGTCACATTTGCTCTTTGTTTATATCGCAAGCGTGCTTATGGATTGATTGTTCGGACAATCAGAAAGGCGTCCACTACGATGTGTAATTTTACTAGAGTGTACATGAAACTATTGCAACAAATAACAGAACTGACCACTATTGCACTTAATTAGGACCTAATAGTGACGTCCTTAATGCCAAGGGATAATTATGTGCATTGTGTATAATTATATAAGTTTTGGACCTCACAAACAAACAGGTAAAACAGGTCTCTTTGTTTTTTTGTTTTTTTTGTTCCGCCTTTGCGTGTAGTGTTTACTGCCTGTTTGCCATTAGAATGTTATGAAGTGTTCTACCGGCTTCATAGTCAGGTGGGAGGTTGAAGTTAGAACATATTTTTGATTCTCCCTTTTTTTAAACAGTACAGCTACCTGTCTAGCTAACTTTATTTATCTGTCAGTACAGTTTCAGCAAAACTATGTACATCTTATATTTAAATAAAAAGGTTGTTTCTTGTGTAGGAGTGTTCTATGTGTGTGTGCTGTTAATACTACGATATGACATCTAGAGCAGTGTTTAACACCTAAACATAGAAAAGGCAAGAATAAAGAGGCCAAAACAAGTTCTTTGTATGATGCCGTAAAAGAAGCCCTTTTGGTTCCCTAAAAAGCTTTCAGTATGTGGTTCTTAAAAGAACCATTTCTGTAAAAGAGATGTGTGAGTGTGAAGGCCCTCATCATAATGTAAAGGTTCTAAAGAGAGATCTTAAATTGGTACAGAACCCTGACACCCCTTACAAAAAGTTACATGAATTTTCACATGTGAAAATCATGTCAAAAATGTCATGTAAAAAACTTGTGATTACTTGTAAACACATTGTTTTTGCACACTTAATATGTGAATTTTCTCTAAGCGATTATGTGAAAGTTCTTTAAACCTTTAAAAGGTTCCTCAGCCTCACAAATCTTTTTCAAACATGGTTCTTATGAGAGCCAAAAAGTGGTTCTTGTACAGCATCACTCAAAGAATGCTTTATGGGAGAAGTATTGGAGACACACATGCAGTGCACTTTCAATTTTCCTGCCATTTCAGGTTTGTCATTAGTTAAGTAACAAGCTCTTCTTGGACTGAATCAGGTGTCTAAAAGCAGGAAAAACAGTGCAGGTGGGGTCCCATTTCCATTTAAATTTATTTAATACCACCAACATTGTACTTTATGGGTGGGCAACAACAATATTTTATCATTATCATGACAAATTTCATCACAACACAACAACTGCATGTTGCTGTTGTCGGAAGAAAACCTTGTATCTCCAAAATGATGACTTTACAGCAGAAGGAAAAAACATACTTTACTGTTAATGTAAGGCAATGGAACCAGATTTTTTTCCAAGCAATTTTGTGTGATTTCTTTTGGTCCATTCAACATGAAATTTACACACAACATAGAGAGCAACAGGTATTTTCAAATTATGTCAAAAACTTAAAAACATCAAAAATGGAGATACAAGGTTTTCTTCTGACAACAGCGATGTGTAATTATAAAGAGAGCATAATTTGTCCTGTGAATTTACTGTAGCTCAGTGAGTGAAACACTGAACAAAAATCATTGTACTCAGTTTTTGATAGATAGATATTATTAAATGTGGCACTACTAGAGCTTTTCTTCTGTTTCAACTTATCAAATTGCAGCTAAATATCATGATATGTATCATGTAATGTGAAAATGTCTTGAAGCATCATGATATCTTTTCTGCCATATTGCCCACCTCTTTTGTACTTACACTCACTGACCTCTTCATGAGGTCTACACAACTAGATGAACTATTTCAGTTTACAGTTACAGATATCTGTTGTCATACACAATTTATTGTTGGTCACCACAATGTACACAAATGGCCAATGTGGCTGCAGGAGAACACTTAAGAGATGCCATCCATCTAGGATTTTCCTTAATCGGCCAGGTTTTTGGCTGCTTGTCCTGAAAAAAGTTCCCACAAAATGTCCAGGAATCCAAGCATTTTTACATGTTAGTAGTTCTTATGAAGTATTTTCTGCTTCTTTTTGTCCAGTAAAATCATTTTTTTACAAAGTATACATTTGTATACCCTCAAAGAACAATTGTTTTAGAAACAATACTGCTGGTAACATGTTTAGGCCCTAGGCAGTACTACAACAAAAACTGCTTGTGTTTTGTAGCTGAACTGACATCTATCTACAATAAACTGCATCATGAGCATATCCATCCATCCACAGAATTTAGTAAAAAAAAATCCTCTGATTGAATGTCCAGGAATTTTACACAGCTTAGGTGGTGACCCTGAGCAAACTTAATATAACTTACCTGTTTGAAGAGGCCACAGACCTTTGTGGATAAGATTCTAGATTGGTGACCCCTTCACTACCTTATTTCTGACCACAGCAGTGACACTAGCATGGTAGTGGCATGCTAGTGAGTGCGGAACTGTTGTGAGTGTAACAAGCATGAGATCCACCACCCAAAAATATACATGCTGAAAATATTCAGCCCAGGTTTGCTGACTGTAACTAAGTCTTGGGCAGTGGACAGAGATTAGATGAAGCTTCTTTTTCCCATTACACCTTAAATGATGTAGCAGTTACATTCAGATGCCTGCAGAATATCCCCGTTGTGGGACTAATGAAGGATTATTTTATCTGCACGGGCGAAAGATTCACGTATCACATTCAGCGCAACGGTATGAATCTGGTAGCCTACTGGCTGTTGGAAGTAACCAGACCAGAACTCAATAGGGTTCATTATTATTATTATCATTATTATTTGTATTACTGAAGCAAGCACTTAGGAAGACAATGAAAATGTTACTTCCAGAGGATGAGGACATATCCGAGCAGGTAGGCATTGAGAAATGCTGAACTTAACTTACTGAGCTAGCATTAGTTTGTAGCATGTCGACGGTGATGGTTTACTCACATTAAAGACTAGCCACCAGAGCTCTCTGCTAGCCACCTTGGTTGTCTCAGTGTAGCATATAAATTATAAGTATGCCTAAAAGTAGGAAATGAAAGAAGTTATTTTGCACAAAGGCAATGCTGGGTGTGTGTAGCAGGAGAAATACAGCTTTCTGAAGTGAGCTTGTCTGCATCATGTGTGAAAACAAGCCCCAGTCCAGCCCTGGGCAGGGGGACGAAGGTAAAAAAAAAATTATTCGAGTGAACGTTTTGCAGTTCGTACGCATGTTTTCTTTTATTCGTGGTCACAATTTCTTAAATCGTTCCCGCGCTTTCTTTTAATCGTGGGTGCGTTTTGTTTACTTCGTGGGTACGTATTCGTGGTCATGTTTTATTTTTAACTATTTGTTATTTTGATTCGTGCGCAAACAAAATAAATCTAGTAGATACAGGCCGCTAACAGCTCCCTGAGACTGTCTGACGGGTTTTGATGTGTTAAACTGATGAGATAATGAACAGAGATGCTCATCAGGTCTGATGTTGATTTGGGGATGTTATGAGGAAACTGCAGCTCATCTTCACAGCAAACGGCCCACGATGTTTCTGCTCCCGCGTCAAGCTGCGGTGTTAGAAACCATCACACAATTACAGGAAGATCAGAGTTTCAACATCCTCACATCAATATATCTACATCTAATCCATAGATCTATTAAACTCTCTCGCCACTTGACCTCATCCCACATGAATGTGTCTGTGTGTGTTTAATTTGAGTTTGCTGAAACGTTGACGCTGATCATTTCTTCCTGTAATTGTGTGATGGTCTCTAACACCGCAGCTTGTCGCAGAAGCAGAAACAGCGCTAAGCGGCCGCGCTGCGTCTCTATCTCTGTTAAATATGATCATCAGAAAGTGCAGTTTAGTGAAGATTGTGGTTGTAGTTTATTGTCTTTCTTCATTTCACCACCAAACTGCAGCTGCACTGATGAATCTGTGGGCCGTTTGCTGTGAGGAGGAGCTGGAGTTTCCATAACGCCCCAAATCAAAATCAGACGTGATGAGCGTCTCTGTCCATTATCTCATCAGTCTAACACATCAAGTCTCAGGGAGCTGTTAGTTACTCCTGCACAGGACAAATAACGCGACCTGTGTCTACTACATTGATTTTACGCACGAATAAAAAACAAACAACGTGAAAAATAAATAATGACCACGATTAAAAGAAAACGAGAGAACAAAATCGTGATCGAATAAAAAACGTACCCATGAAGTAAACAAAACGTGCGCACGATTAAAAGAAAACGAGGGACCGAATTAAGAAATCATGACCACGAATAAAAGAAAACGTGCGTACGAACTGCAAAAAGTTCACTCGAATTCATTATTTTTTTACCTCCGTGCCCTCCGGGCCCCCGTAAGTAAGAGTAAAGCACCAACGATGGACAAGCCGCATAAACCAGTCAATGAAGCGCACTAGGACCCAGAGTCCAAGTCAGAGGAAGTGGCCGCATGTGTTTGACTTAATTGAGGATGTTTCAGTGCAGTAGCTGTGGCTCTGTCACAGAGCCCGCAGGAGGCTGTGCGGAGTGCAATGCTCGGTCCAGACAAGTCAGGGATTTTTCTTTGACGCTCCACACATGGAGGTAAACAACGGAACATGTGAGTAGATTGTTGCTGTCATCACAGCTAATCTAACAACGTTGCTCGTTCATTTTTATAGGTGTTTTTTTTGGAAGACATCTGAAGGTAGTAACAACAGGTGGCTGGTGCTATCTGCACATTAAATGAAAAAGTACAGAGGAAACATGTAGCAGCATGCAGGCTATCTGCACACGACTTACCTTTAATCCTCCTGGACGAATTTCTCCTGCATGTTTCTGTAGTGAAGGTGTGCATCCAATGGATTACTCTATGAAGAGAGCATGCTTTCCTCTTTATTTTGAATACGTCATTGTGCAGAATGCAAACATCATATATCCAGCTGAAAAGTCACTGAACCGCATTAGCAAGCATAATAGTCAGCATTCCCCATCCAGTCAATTGTCAGCTGTCCCCCTCTTTCCGGGACGCTGCTGCTTTACTGTCTTCAGCTTAATTCGGAGCTTCATGCAGACCCTCATATTCAAAAGTTAAAAAGAGCTCCTACACCTGGAAAATAAGCCCACGTGAGTAGGAGAATGATTAAGAGGCTCTCAACTGGGGTTACTTTTCAATTTCTTCTGGTCTCAGCTTCTCAGACTGGCCTTCACCACCACCACTCCTCTCTTTGTTTATAATAAGTAAAGCCAGTCTTTATAAGAAGCTGAGTTCTAACAGGACCCCCATGGTGAAGGGTTTGTAGGTTTAAGATCTCCTGGAAGTCCTTGTGTTTTAGTAGCTTTCTTGGCACAGTGCTTTCCGCAGGAACTGTGGAGAGCTGCTGTTGTTTTCGGTATTTTCAGGAGCAGACAGCAGGAGCTGGTTTCTTGAAGTGTTTTTTCCTTCTCAAAAAGCCCCTCAAAAACAATGAGGTGGTTCCATCAGTGGGGCAGAGACTAGGTGAGGATTATCAGTTTAAAAAGCGTAACAAAGTCAAACATCAGATCATGGTTG